ATAATGACCAGGTCAAAGTGATCTACCTGCTATAATGACCAGGTCAAAGTGATCTACCTACTATAATGACCAGGTCAAAGTGATCTACCTGCTAAAATGACCAAGTCAAAGTGATCTACTTGAATCTCTCAAGTGTGACTTGCTTCAGACGGTGGCAGCTTCCAGTTTGATGGTTCCTGCTCTGTGTCAGCTTGACTCAAACGTCGGATTGTCCAACCATGCTATCTGCTGCAGGTTAGATGTTGACTGCTCATAAATACGTCAACATGAAATAAGCGTCTGTTTAGAAAAAGTGTGCAGGTGAAAACACCAGCTGAAGTCCAGATTAGTCCAGAACCTACAGCTGATGTTTTCAGCTCCAGCTCGTCCAACCAGTGAGTCCAGCTCAGAACGGATCGGTGTGGATCCCCGCAGGGCAGTGGGTCCAGCCCCTGACCTGACGGTGATGAGATCCGCTCCCCATCTGAGCAGGACCAACGAGCAGTGAACTCTTGTGCAGAACTTTGCAGCAGCAGCTGCAGCAGTCAGTAATGAGGTGAATACTAATTGATTTACTTTTAATTATCCCTCCTCCTTTTTGTTTCAATTAAAAAGCTCTGCGGCCCGTCGCCGCAGCGTGACGAGCGTGTCATCTCGACAACGATGCAGTCATTTTACAGAACAAAGCCTGGGTGGGGGGTGGAGGGGGGTGTTACAAAGCCTCGGGAGATCAAGAGATCTACTTCAGAGGAGCCACAAATACAACAAACAGCCTAAATGATGGACAAACGCAGCTAAAAACAAGGAGCTCGTGTCTCATTTCAGCCTTTTCATTTTCCTCTCTTCTGGTCTCTGATTAGTTTTCAGCTGCTCCATTAAAGCTTCTTTGATCATATCGGTGTTGTTTCCAGCTGTGGAATCCAGCTGTGGATCACATTTTCGCTCAGACACAGTCGTGTTTTCATTCAGCCCGGGGACATCGCGGCCTTTTATCTTGTCCCTCTGCAGTCTCCAGAACGTCTCCTGGCGTTCGTGCCGTGTCTCAGTTTCTTCACTTGTGATGCAGAAACTTTCAGTCCTGCCGCTTGAACTTCGAATATATTTTTAAAAAACGTGCAGCGGTCGTCACGAGGCTGTCGTGGGCGTCACCAACCCTTCTCAGGAGCTCCAGAGTTTTATTTGAACACCTGCAAGCAGGACAGCAGGGAGGAGGACCAGAGAGAAGGTCCATGGATGTGATGGAGGAGGATCTGTGGGGGGACAGAGGAAGAGCTGGAGGCAGATGATCCACCATGGAGAAACATAAAGCTGACAGAAGAAAGTCTACATAAAGTTTTTTTTTTCTTTTGTAAACTGATTATTATTATTTTTTTTAATCAAAACATTTTCTCAAAACTCACAGGAGTTTCTGAAAAGTTTAGGCAAAGAAATACAAACTAATTTACAAATGACCTGCGGGCGCCCTCTAGCGGTCATTTGTTGGAATTACAGATGCTTCCTAATTTTACTTAACTTTATGATTTATTTTATTGTTTGCACACAAAAAAGAAACACATAAAAGAAAATATAAAAACAAAATATAAAAAAAAAATCATAAAAGCTTTGTACATACACTTACATCGTACTTTAAACACACACAAATGCAATAGATAATAGCTCATAATCAATTTAAATTGTCCAAAACTATTAAAATAATAAATAAAAATAAAACAATACATGTGTTAAAAAATTATAAACTTTGCTTCAACTTTCTTTTAAATAAAGATAAAGTTGTACATGATTCAGTTCATCGTTTAGACTGTTCCACCTCGATGGAGACGTGAACGTCTGTCAGCAGCGTTTCTGCAGAAGGAAGATGTAAATCATATCTTCTTATTGTAGAGTAAAAATGATAAGAATGAAACTCGAAGAAATTATTAAACTTTACAAAGAGCTTTAAAAGAAAACAGACGCAGCAAAACACTGTAAATGTAGAACAAATTAAATCAAACAATGGAAACGAGGCTGAGTCCCTAAAGAAAAAGTCAAAGCTTTATTTAAGTTCTTAAAGTGAATTATTTGTTTTAAACTGTGACACGGTCAGTTTAAAATGTGTGTTTACGTTGGAGATCGTGTGAAGTCAGTTCCTCATTGTGTCTTTGTGTTCCTGCAGCGGTGGCAGAAATCAGGGACTCACTTGGAGCACCTGGTCTCCAGGTTCTGCCTGGACTCGGAGATGGCTCTGGACGGCATGGACTCGTCCCGGATGCTGGTCATCAGCCCCTGTGAACTGAGCGCCTACACACAGAGGTGGGAGGTGCCCTTCTCCTGACCTCCGTGGTCCGTCTCCTCCACTGCTCCTGCTCTGCACCTCCTCCGTCAGCGGAGAGGACACAAAGCTGCACGGCCCGGAGAGGTGAGAGTCCCGGCACCGCCCTGAGGAGTCTCAGTGAGAGCTGGACAAACGTCGGGTTCAGTAAAGTTCTGCAGCGCATCCGTGCATGAAGAGACGAAACGTTTGAGAGTGAAAACAAGTGCGCCTTAAAACCCTGAAACTCTTCTAGGAGAAAACGAATCACAGTTTTCTGTCATCTTTTACAACCGCCTCGTCTGTTTCTGCAGATCTTTGATAATCTGAAAGTAAAGCACAGGTATCACCTGCACCTTCACTGCACTGGACCGGACCAACTGCACCTTCACTGCATCAGACTGGATCGGTCAGATCCAGATCACTTCTTACTGAAACACGCCCACAGAGTAACGCCCATGTACCGTATTTTTCGGACTAAAAGGCGCATTAAGTGAAATAAATTCATTTTGACACATTCGTGTACAAAATAAAATCTGTTCGAGGTCAGTGAGCACAACCAGAATTAACACATAAGGCGCACCGTCGATTCTTGAGAAAATTCAAGGAAAAATACGGTAGATCAATGACGGCCATTAAAACACAAATCAGATCTAATTAATGTTTATTTCATCTGCTGAGCCTAAAATCTGACGATCGTGTGTTAAAACATTTAAACGGCATAAACAGATTTTCTGTTTGGACAGTAAAGGGGCTCATTACCAGCTCGTGAAGACGAACCAAATAAAACCATGACGTAAGAAACAAACACCACGTGTTTTTGTTATTGATTAGTGGAGCCTTGAAAACGACGTTTGAAAGCTAAATGTGTGACTGGATGCTCAACGTGTGATCAAAAAAGAAAAGCAGCCGAAGTGGCTAAAACAAATCAAACTTTAGCACTTGTTGACCCACAGAGACGACAGCCGTGACTCAAACATCCAGCGGTTTAGATTCATCTCAGTTCTTTGTTTACGCTGAGCGCAGACCCACATTTTAGATTTAAATAGGAATAAATCTGGAGAACTGCTGGAGTCAGCTGTTCTAACGGCACCGCAGAACCAGAACCTTTTGATGTTTGGCTTCACACTTTGCAACGAGTCCCTTTACCTCTTCGTTTAGTTTTTTTATTTAAGCGTTGAAGCTTGTCAGCAGCTTTTACATCGACATCATTTCCTGCTTCATGTGGATTTTCAATCATCCAGTGGAGCCGTTTTCCTTTGTTTCATAACGGGCCACATTATTTGTTTTTAAAGCTCCAGCGTTGGATGACGTCACCAGTAGAACTAATTTGTGTTCCTGCTCTTAATGTCTGTTTTTGTGACACAGTTTTCTCTGATGCTCTTTGTTTTCTCCAAGTTGCAGCTGATAAAACCCATAAATTGTCATTTTAACTTTGATTTGGACACTTTTTCTTTTCTGAAGCAAACTCTTCCCAACTTAACTCACAAAATACTCATCATGGTTCTGGTCACCTGCGGTAATCAGCAGTAAAATCAGCAGTAATCAGCAGTAAAATCAGTGGTA